CCTTTGTTCAGAAATGGCACCCAAGGGTTAGGGTCCAGTTGTTGAAAAGATTGTGTTCTTGCAGATACAAGTTCTCCCATTAAGGACTACGTAATGGACTGGGCTTCCAGGTATGCAAATATATGCCCTCCATATCCCCAATAGTGTATAGCATACATGACAATGTCAGTGTTCTCAAATATCAAACCAGTATTACTTAATCAGTTGGACCAGACAAATTATGCTCCCATTTCAATGTACATTGAGGAGGGCTATAGTAATATGAGAAAGTGAGATTCCAAAAGAGATCTTCACACAAGTTAAGCGCACACAGGAGCCTCAAATAATGTATTGACATTTATTGCATGATAATAGTATGAAAACATAAATGCACTCAATTGTGCAGGACAAAGCACTAATTGTGCGGCACAGAGGTTCATTCAGTAGTTTACTGCACCAATACAGCTCCGTGTGTGACTCCTATCAAAAGCAGCTTCTAGCAAATGCTCTTACTGTTGCTCAGTTGCATGTAGGTTGGTGATGAATGTCACAGGGAAGCAAAGGATAGAAAGATGTCATCAACAAAAAGGCTCAGCTAGTGTTTCTTTCCCAACATCCACCACGCTAATATCCAGGTTACCCTGAATCAAACAGGCAGAAGAAACCAGGGGGCAACCCTTGAAGGTCCCATATGTAAAAGTATTTGTTCCATCCATTTATCTGCCTGTATGTCCTGCTTAGGAAAATTAATTGCCCTCTAGTTTCCACGAGCTAACCCAATGTGGAGGAATCATTTAAACCTATGAGACATTTCCAGAGGTCCGCTACGGTCTTGCTCCTCTGGTGCTTTCTGTGGCCTGCAATATCAACCAACGTCGAAAAGCAGACTTATAGGCATTCCAGGTTATCTTAGAAACCTCAGAAAAAATTATAGCCTTCATTTAATACTGATAAGCTTTCCAAATTATTTCATATTTTTGGATAAACTTTTAAAAAGATTTCACATTATAAAAAATATTTAGCATTTTATTTTAGCATTTGTTTTGAAATGTTAATATTTTGAAAAGTTTATCCAAAAAGATTGCATAATTTGGAAAGCTTATCCAACATTATTAAATAGATAGAATTAAGACTGTATGTCAGAGGAAAACAAGATATGTATATACAAAACTACCACACAATACAGCACCACCCGTGAAAGGAAAAACAGAAGGGGTAAGAAACAATAACAACGTCTCTTTGCTTTAAATGTAGATAAATCTAAGATTCCTCTAGATCTTAAAACATATACACTGTCTCTATAATACTCCCAGCTTAGCTCTAGGCACAGAAGCACTGAAACTATAGAGACAACGTCTCTTCTCTGAGACGCGGAGATAGAAACCTCTATTTCCTCTGACATACATATACACACAAGTATATGATATAAGGCCATAAGCTCCTCCAATGTTATTTAGTCTCTTGTGAGTGCAACATTGAATAGCCTTTAAGCTCCCACCTGACCTTATTACACTATTTTAGTTTTTCTCTTTCTTGTAGATATTCTTGTGTGTGTGTGTGTGTGTGTATGTATGTCAGAGGAAATAGAGGTTTCAATCTCAGTGTCTCAGAGAAGAGACTTTGTCTCTCTAGTTTCAGTGCTTCTGTGCCTAGAGTGAAGCTGGTAGTATTATAGAGGCAGTCCATTTTCAAGCACAGTCTGACCCAAGGTGCATGTATATATGGCTGAAGGATCCTTTCACAATGTGATTAAGAGAGTTTATACTAAAGTTGTTTTGTGCTGAAAGTTGTCCTTTAAGGAATCCTATTTAAAAAAATAAATAAATAAAGGCATACTTTAGCATCACATGACTTATGCGTATAGATATGCAATCTCTAGCACTCGACAGTGCGGGTTTTGTTATGTGACCGCTAGACGTTGGACTTATATTTTAGAATTAAACTGGCAGAGCTGGGTAGGAGGATCTTTGACAGTGTGTGTGTATAACCAACCTTGCTATGGGCAGCCTATCAAGAGGCAGCTGGTGTTGGCATGCTACATGTGCCAACACCAAATGCAAAAGTCTCAGAAAACTCACATAATCAGCCAAGAAGAGCAGTCAATAGATGCGACACTACACACGAGGAGGGAAAAAAGGTTTTCTTATAAAGAGAGGCTGCATTAACAGTCTTTGTACCAAAAATACTTAAGATGAAATGATTATGGTGCTAAGAGTGACCCTTTAACATTTTCACTGATAAAACTTTACCATGTATGAGTGTGCATTTGCAAAAGCAAGCAATAAACAAGTACCACAATAGAAAATTGTTAGACCATCAGAGCCATTGTTTCTCCACCATATTGTACACTCAAAACAAAATTCAAGGGCAAGAATTCGACACAACCATAGGACGAGAATGACATTTTTATTCTGTAAAATATATTAACATTTATAGAACAGAAAAATTTACAATATTCCTTAAAGCATGAGGAGTGTGTAAAGTGGGTCTTTTTTTTTTTTTTTTGCTTCTTTTAAACCTGTGTAATACATTTACAACAACTTATTCATTCCACCTTTACCACACGTGAAGGTTGCAAGAAGGTAATTAAATATGTTTCAGTTTATAAGATATAGTAAATTTTCCAGTACAATTTGTGTTTTCTTGTAAGATTTTAATTTTTAGACTGTTTTTGCTTCCTATATATTGGACATTACATAGAGAGATGAATGACTTGTTTATCTTACATGTACCCCTGAGAGAGTGGTAGCTTACTTTAGCAAGGCGTGGAGTATGTTTGGTGAGGAATGCTCACATAGGAACCCTCCACAATGGTGAGTGAGGAAAGTGGCAAATATTTGCAGCTTGCAGGTGGCATGGTGTTGAGTATTGATGGGAGTGGGTGGCTCAGTGTAGCAGAGGTCAACTCCACTGTAGAAATAAGAGGGTCTTTTATTCAACTACTAAACATAGAACCTCTGTGTGTGTATATATAAAAAATGTTATTCCAAATACAGTGTGGGCTGTTGAACGTTTAAGATGGTGGCACATTTGTAGTATCAGTTGTCTCCTACTGTATAGTCAGAGTTAAAGAGCTTCTGTAAGCTGCACTGTGCTAAGCCCTGTTGTTCAGGGGCAACTCAATGGCTGACAGCATCAGCCAAGTTTTCTCCGTCAATGAGCTAAGCCCTGAATTGGCCAGCTTCGCTCAAGGCAGGAGCTGACCTGAGGCACAGGAGAAGGTGACCGTAGCTTGGTGGACCCCAGGTGAGTTGTTAAGCAGCATTTGTGAATGCTTTGACTACATATCCTATAGACTTTAGGCTCGTCTGAGCAGGGTCCTCGTCAGCCTATTGTTCCTGTAAGATTTCTTGTAATTGTCCTATTTATAGTTAAATCCCCCCTATTAAAGTGCTACGGAATCTGTTGACACTATATATATGGCAATAATAATAATATCTTGGGAGACACATGGCACTCCTGATACCATAATCACTACAGAAGTGTGTTGTGGTTATGGTGCTTGGAGTGTTCCTTTAAATGTGCATTGTACCTCCAGTATGTCAGGAATTACCTGTATAGATTTTATATTGCCTCCAGTCTGCATACAGTTTACATTTTCAAAAAGATGTGCATTAGCAATATAGTGATTGAGAATAGCTATCCTTTTGGCTGGTTACAGTTGAGGTAGCTTGAACTTCTACATAATCTCACTCGAAGCTTATAAAATGTTATATAAAGTGACACTTAATTCACACCATTAAACAGCAACAGGAGCTTCCATTAGTCCATACAGCTGATTATTAAAGGAAACATGCATGCCTAATGCTATAGTGTCATACTAGTTATTTAAATTACTGCCCCCCTCCGCTGTGTGAAATAAAAGTTTTATTTATCTTTACTCCATTGCCTTGCCTCTCTCAATCCTGCAGTCTGCAGAAACTTCTAGACACTTGGCGAAGCTACCGCATGCACGATAATACAGCAGTTATATCAGCTTCTGGCAGTGAAGTGCAAGAAGCTGAAGAGGACACTCTGGAAGAAGATGGCAGTGCCCCTGAGGGGCAGGTTCAGATAAGTAGAACTCATCTTTGCCAGTCCCCCCGGCAACCGGACCCCCAGCAGTGATGTCACCATCGGGGGTCTTTGCAAATTCCGCTTACACCATGCAACAAAAACCTTGTTTGAAAAGTCACATGATAAGGCATGCCATATAGACTCCAATACTTCCAATATTTCTGTAAAGGATGGATGAATGAATGAAATGTAAATAAAAAAAATAAAAAAATGTTGCTTAAATATATAAAATGTAATTTTGTAACTCTACCTGAACAGGAATCTATACATGTAGTAGGCTTTGTCATGATTTTAGAGTGAATTTCATATTTAAGGCCAACATAGCCAAACTAGAAAAAAAAAAATGTAATCTCTGCTTTCAGTTAGTTTAATTTGGCCTTACATTTTAAATTCACTTAGAGTTTTCACTTTAGTGAAAAACCTTGAATATTCTGTAGCTGATTGGCAGATAGTTGTTTCACTATTGTATTCACTTTCACTTAAGAAAATGATACACATATTTGTGCCTGGGAATCTTTTAAACTTTTTAGTTTGTTTTGCTTCACTTTGGGTTTGGGGCCTTGCTACTTATGTCATCACCTATGGTTCCCTGACCACCATGTTTTTGTTGGGCACTTGTGAATTCTTCACTTACTGGGATTGAGAGTGCTATATTGCAGTATGCAATAAAAAAATGAATTATAACATTGAATTAATCATCAGAAATTGCTGTGATTATGGTTAATTTTGCCCTAAGATCACATAAGTTCCATTAACTTACAAATTTACAAAAATATTGCGATTGTACCACCACTATACACCAGCCTTGCCGAAGCTTTAGCATCCTGTAAGTTCTCATGTCTGGGTTTGAGCATACCTACTGTTCTGAAAACATATACAAGCTCTGAAGAAACATAAATTAACTTGGTTAGGTCAGTGTAGCATGCAACTGGTTTCTGCCTGTGCTGACCCTCTCTCCCATCTTTGAACTGTTTGTGAGCAATGGTCTGCTCTATATGTAAAAATTACTGTAGTTATATTAGCACATCGTCTGGAGTTACTGATTCGCTGCTTACATTCCAGGAAGCACCTCACCCGCTCGTGTAGAATGGAGTAGTGTGGGTTTTAATGCGGTTGTCCTATGCACATTTACCAAACATTATTAATTCATTAGTAACTTGTTTAAATTGTCTTTTAGTCATGCATTTGGTAGTCACCCACCCCTAAATTTATAGATACTCTAGGCACCTTCTTGCATCGCCTTATCTGAAATCCATCCAATCTTGTATAGTTTCCAGTGGACAGATTTTAGTATTGATTGATGACAACAGGGCAGAGGTTATAAAGTGGTTTCACTTCCCCTGTCTCTAGGATTTCTCTCTATATCTGAGTCGTCATACTCTGAATCCATCTCGATTTTGACCTGTGGGACCGCACCGATGGCACTCCTAGGATAGCTGATGGCAGGGGACGAGGGGCAAGATATCTTCAAATGCAGTGTAATACTGTAAAGGGAAGGAAACACATGTGTGATGCTACATAATAAAGCACATTCAGAGCATAAAAATAAGAAATACATCATTGACTTATGCCTAAACTTTACTTGTGATCAGTATTTATACACGTAACTTTTACGTTGTAAATTCAACGCGGTTTACAGTTACGGACTAAAAAAGGAGTTGAAATATTTTCTGAACTAATTGCTCTTGTTGCTCTGCTATTTTGTCCTAAATTTCTGAGCTGTTTGGTAATTAAAGGGATTCTCCATTGCCAGGAAAACAAAGCCGTGGGCTCTGCCCATGCTCCTCCCCCGCCAACGTTAGCTTGCGGGGGAGACCTGATGCGCATGCGCGGCAATGGCAGCACACGCGCATTAGACCACCACATAGGAAAGCATTATTCAATGCATTCCTGTGGGGAAAATCTGACACTGGAGGTCCGTGACGATAACGGATAAAGGACCAAAAGTCCATTTAGATTCCGGAATTGCCGGTAGACAGCCACTGAGGGCAGACTTAGAGCTGCAATGTAAACATTGCAGTTTTCTGGAACTGCAATGTTTTACATTGCAGCACTAAGTGCAAAAGGGTCACAGCACCCAGACTACTTCAATTAGCTGCATTAGTCTGGGTGCCTATAGTGTCCCTTTAAGATAGAAAACT